CATGATCCATGAAATCGCCGTTTACATCGTTCCTGCCCCGGCGTCCCCTGAGCTCATCATAAAAACCCGGGTTCAGCCTCGTCTTCATCGACAAAAAACAATTGAAGGAAAACGCTGAAGACCTGCAGGAGCCGACGGCGCTTCACTGGTCTCACTGTCTCCATGGTCCACCTACACAGCCTCCTGCTGGGACTCTGAGGAGCACAGGGACTGGCATCCTGCTGGGACTCTGAGGAGCACAGGGACTGGCATCCTGCTGGGACTCTGAGGAGCACAGGGACTGGCATCCTGCTGGGACTCTGAGGAGCACAGGGACTGGACTCCTGCTGGGACTCGAGGAGCACAAGGACTGGCATCCTGCTGGGACTCTGAGGAGCACAGGGACTGGTCTCCTGCTGGGACTCTGAGGAGCACAAGGACTGGCATCCTGCTGGGACTCTGAGGAGCACAGGGACTGGTCTCCTGCTGAGACTCTGAGGAGCACAGGAACTGGCCTCCTGCTGGGACTCTGAGGAGCACAGGGACTGGCCTCCTGCTGGGACTCTGAGGAGCACAGGGACCGGCCTCCTGCTGGGACTCTGAGGAGCACAGGGACCGGCCTCCTGCTGGGACTCTGAGGAGCACAGGGACCGGCCTCCTGCTGGGACTCTGAGGAGCACAGGGACTGGCCTCCTGCTGGGACTCTGAGGAGCACAGGGACTGGCCTCCTGCTGGGACTCTGAGGAGCACAGGGACTGGTCTCTAGCAACTGGTCTCTGGTCTCTTACTTACAACTTAAACACAACTAGCTAGCAACTTACTTTGCTTCGGTTTGCCTGTGCGATGCACGGAAGATAAACTGCGTGTGTATGAAAGTCAGTCCCCCAATCGGATCTTCGAGCGGTCCCCGTGAGCTTCACACAGCCAATTGTAAAGTTGTTTACTCAAACGGGGCTCGCACAAAGATCGTCAGAGAGTAGGATCTCTCACTCCTGTGTTTGTACTTGTTGCTGCACAGGCAGCAGCGCTCAGAGGAACCAGAGGAGTGCACATTATTGAGAATAGACAATCATAAATACAGTAAAATTATATTATGTGTATATAATGTATTTGTATATATAAATTAGATGTTTTATTTATTTTTTTGTCTTAGTTTGTTTTGTTTTACGTATTTTACAGCTGTGATACAGAAGCAACCACAGCCTCATAGACAAACTGCTTGAGGAAGGGCGTCAGGAGTACAGCGTTTTTGGCTTTTATAGTGGAATTTTGTAAAAATTCTAATAAACACTGGTTCAATATTTTTCCCCGTTATCCCCAAGACCATAAATAACATTTCTATGGAGTCTAAAAAGTTGTTTATAGCATTTCATTGTGTTTTTTTAATACAATGTTGTGAAATTGATTTTCCGTTTCATTTTTTTCTTTGTCTTCATGATTCCATAATCATTATATAATTGATATGACAGCTCCAAAATATGAATATTCTAAACCCCCAGGTTGTACTGAGAAAAACAAAATATACTGCTTGACTCTGCATCAAAAGATGACTATTTTATGAGCAATTTTACACACACAAAAAACCAGGCGAGGAAAGTTCCCCAAAATGACTCTAGACCTTAGAGGGTTAAAGATTTTAACATAGGACAAAGACTCCCTCTGTGACCTGGTCTCCTCCTGGTCTCCTCCCTCTGTGTCCTGGGTCTCCTCCTGGTCTCCTCCCTCTGTGTCCTGGGTCTCCTCCTGGTCTCCTCCCTCTGTGTCCTGGGTCTCCTCCTGGTCTCCTCCCTCTGTGTCCTGGGTCTCCTCCTGGTCTCCTCCCTCTGTGTCCTGGGTCTCCTCCTGGTCTCCTCCCTCTGTGTCCTGGGTCTCCTCCTGTTCTCCTCTCCAGGAAATCATCCAAGCGGCCTCTCAAACAGTCGCCTAATCCACCTCAACGCACTCCTCTTGACATGGAGAAGCAGCGGCTCTACTCCGAGCCTCCTCCCCCCAGCTCTAAGGAAACTCATGTGGACCGCTTTCATCCACGGTCTCATCCTTTCAGTCCTTCCCCAAACCTCACGACCAGAAAGAGGACACGGGGACTCGACTCAGACTATTCTCCACCTAATAATGATGATAGCATGGATGGAGGTAAAACCCACTCCGGGTCCTCAGCCACAGGACCAGTGGATGTGGAGCAGACAGATCCCAGACCGAGACACATGTGGGCCATAAATATTTAAACATGGACCGGGTTTAAACACAGAACATTACGTCTCCTTCGAACAGACCATAAACTATTAATGAGGAGGAGACGGGACCATGAAGGAACCATCGATACCATAAAACACGACACAGATTTGGTGAAGACAGTTTTTATGGAGCGAGAAGATCAAAGGGAAGCGTCTGGGAGAGTCACGGGGCCGGGGTCTGAAAAATGTGTAAAAACGACTTCTGTAAACTCCAGAATTTGTTAAAACATTTTGTCCGTTCTTTCTCAGTTCTGACCGTTTTACAGAGTGGAGCCGGAGATTTGATTTGTGGTCGGATCTTGTAGGGAAAGCAGAGGCTAAGCAGGACTGGGCTCGGTCAGAACTGTGATGGGAGACTGCCATAGGTGTGCGCTGAGGCTCCGGGTCCGGTGGCTGCAGACGGCTCCTCGGATGGCACTTCCTCTTCTGAATACACCGACATCCAGCCCTAGGTTTTTTCATGGTTGTACCTAAGAGAATAATACTGCGATAATACTGTGACTACATTTGACAGCAGCTGACATAAGTTATTGTTTAAAAGTCGTTTGGATTGAAGCTGACACTCGGACTACAGACGGACTAAATGTATTTAAAGGAGTACTTACTGATTCCAAAGCTGTCAGATTATGGGATCCATGATAAACAAATACTCGGATTGGCTCAGATCGGCCGCCATCCTTCTGTCAGTCTGCCCCAGGGCATGCCATGTGACCCTCTCTAGGGTTAAGTCGTAGGAAGTCACACTGGGATTTTTATCATTGGAAAACAGTGCAGACATTTAGTATCAAAGTGAAAAACTAGAAATAGACACATGCACATTCTGCTCTGTTCAAGAGGAGACACGTGATTGGTCCATTTTTATCAGACAAAGACACAGAGATCCTATAGACCAGTGTTCCCCTTTTTGAGCCGTGCCTTGTTCATTCTAAACAGTCACACGTCACACACCCGCTGGTTATTTGCAAAACTATGTCATTCTCATCAAAGTGTATCTTATGGAAAGTCAGAAAAGTATTGCTAAACTTTTAATTTTTTAATCTGATATTGGATCATTTCCCAAAGCACATTGAATTACATCTCACGGCACAATAACGTACCACGGCCCACTGGTTGAAAAACACTGCAACAGACCACAGCAGCAGCCTCAGTCCTGGGTCTACAGCCTCAGTCCTGGGTCTACAGCCTCAGTCCTGGGTCTACAGCCTCAGTCCTGGGTCTACAGCCTCAGTCCTGGGTCTACAGCCTCAGTCCTGGATCTACAGCCTCAGTCCTGGGTCTACAGCCTCAGTCCTGGGTCTACAGCCTCAGTCCTGGATCTACAGCCTCAGTCCTGGGTCTACAGCCTCAGTCTTGGGTCTACAGCCTCAGTCCTGGATCTACAGCCTCAGTCCTGGATCTACAGCCTCAGTCTTGGGTCTACAGCCTCAGTCCTGGGTCTACAGCCTCAGTCCTGGGTCTACAGCCTCAGTCCTGGGTCTGGATGAAAAATGGAAAGAAAGCCACAAGTTTAAACTGTTATTTGTGCATACAACTTTGATAAAGATTAGAGAAATCCTTTATTCGTCCCACGGTGGGGAAATGTCAGTGTTGCAGCGCACAGACCACACAACATATACAAAAGAAAATGAGTAGCTGCTGTGTTTCTTAAATGCTGTAAATTCTTCAATATTAGTCTTTCAAAATATAAATATACAGATAGTGTAGGTAGAGTTATATACTGTGCATAAACCGGGGCCGATAAAATAGAATTATTCTCTGCTGAAGGCTTTGGAAGACGGCTTCTAAAAAACCTTTGTTATTAGATTCAAAAGGGTGAATAAAGCAGGCGTTATTGCTTCAGCCACACTCAGAGTTAACAGCGGTGGGTGAGACGAGTTTGTGCGAATTAAAAGGATGCGCCCACACAGCGGCGGCGGCGGCGGCGGTGACAGCGGCTCTTAAAGCATATTTAATCGTGCGCCCGGGAGCACTCACCGCGGAACACACGCAAATGCGAAGGTCGACGAGTGCTTGTCACAAAACAGAGAGGAGTGGATTCACGAACGCACAACAACACAACAACACAACAGCACTTCATAAGCTCAAGACCCGTGTGGAGTGGGTATTACACCGAGGTTTGGGAGGATTTCTTTTGTTGATGAATATAAATGATCTGGTAAAGTGTGGGGTTGAGGCACGTTCGGCCATTTGCGGTCCCTGCTCTATCCTCCTCGGTCTTTTCTGGAACACGGTTTACCTCTTAGTCCACGATCCAATCCACTCGAGGGCCTCGTTAGGACATCTTCTTTCCACCATCTTGTTCTTTCTGTCGTTCCCCAAGGCTTAGTGCCATAGGAGAGGGCGGGAGCCATGGACCGTGAAGACCAGGGGTGTCCAAACCTTCGAGAACCATTTTAGAAGTGTCCCAGTACGGTGGCTGAGTGGATAGCACTCTCGCCTCTTAGCAAGAAGGCTCGGGGGCTTTTCTGCGTGGAGTTTGCATGTTCTCCCCGTGTCTTTATAGGTTTCCTCCAGGTACTCCGGTTTCCCCTACCACTAAAAACATGTACAATAGTTCAGGGTGAATGAGTGTGTGTTTGTGAATGTGGGACAACGGATGCAAATGAGCCCATGGTACAATCCGGAGGGATGTGTTCATGAACGTGTACTGTCTCAACCAAATAAACAATAAATAATAATAATAATAATAAAGATTTCAGATGTGTTCAGGAGCCGACAGACCCGATTATAAAACTTTTGGCACATTTTCTTATAGATTCACATTTTCCAGAACCACTAGCTTATATGTCACGGCATATTGTTCCGCTCTGTTATGTGTTGTTCTGATCTCTCGGCCACCCCTCCCCCTCGCTCTGGTCCACTTTCTTCCCACTTCCTCAAAAGTCTCGCCGGTGGACCCCGAGGTGCTCTGAGACCCGGGGACTCTCTCGTGTCTCGCTGATGGATCTGGAGAAAGTTGCGTCCTAGTTTTAAAAGCCCAAAGAGGCGGGGGTCCAGGGGGCAGAGCACAGAGATGGAGTGAGCCAGAGAGGGCCAGGCCTGGGGGGGGGGTGCATCTGTGAGCGCCTTCCCCCAGGGACACAGCTCCTGTCTGGGCACGGGACCACCAAAACCACCCCCCTCCCCCCCCTGTGCTCCGGAGCGGCGAGGAAGACAGATGCTGCACATGAGAGGGGCTACAGGTTTAATCATCAAATTCATATAATGCCATGTTTTTCCAGCTCTCATTTGGGTTTAAAGAGAGTTAGAATAAGTTCAGTAAGTTTCATTATTATATGTCTTGGATCGTACACGCGCTCTGATTGGCTGATTCGCGGCCTGATATTTTCCCATCTCGGACCGTTACCATGACAATTTGTCTGCAGTACGTATCAGATTTGATATCTTTCCTTGGTAAAAATGAAATAATGGGCGACGGCTGGGAGCATTCTCAGTGAATTTTATTATCAGGATGAGTTCAGAGGAGTCAGAGGAAGTAATAACAGCAAATAACGACGAACACACAACTCCTCACAGTCAAGAAGAGATCGACAACTTTGTTACAGACCAGAAAGGTAAAAACAGGATTAAGGAAAACCAAGTTGGACATGAACATACTTCACAAATATCTAAAAAGCATTGGTAAAGACACAGACTGAGAACTTACAGCGGGCGCCTCAATCCTCTGAGAAGTTCTTCATGTCACCGTTGGACAGTTTGGTCAAATGTGTTTTTAGTTGAAACCGATCGATATTTGCACAAATCAAAAACAGTCATATAATAAAACATTTAATAACCTCGCTTGCTCGGTCTGTACAGAGAAATATCAGACCTTGGTCTTTTGGTACAGACCTCTCACTCGTTTAATAAGCCGTTATTATTATATGACTTGGATCGTTCGCGCGCTCTGATTGGCTGATTTGCGGTCTGATATTTTCCCATCTCGGACCGTTACCATGACAATTTGTCCGCAGTACGCATCAGATTTGATATCTTTCCTCGGTAAATTATGGATTATAACTTATTTGTAGTAATGTACATTTTTATAAACTTATTAGAAAACAAATGAGGTACAGTCCCTTTAAAGGAGAAACAGGTCTAATCAGTGAACAGAGTAAATCCTCGTTAGCTGCAGGTGTTCATCTTCATCATTCATCATCACTTTTGTCTCGTGAGGTTTTAAAATGCTAATGCGAGTCCCACCTGCGGAGTCCACGTGTCCCGCTCTGAATTCATGATGTCTGATTTTCTAAACTGATGGATCACACATTTACATGGACTTAACCTGAGAGAGCAGCCCCTGTTTGCTGTAACACAATCTGTGTGTTATCGCTACACAACTGGGAGTGTCACCGGAGCACACGGTTTGTTTTGATTTTTAAATATGTTATTATGTAAAAGAGTGTCAATAGACACACACACACATAAACACACACAGACACACACACACATAAACACACATACAGACACACATGAACAGAGACACGTAAAATCAACCAACCACCCAGACAGAGACACACACAACGATTCATACCAATCACATACACAAACACATACATACACACAACCCACACACACAGACATACTGTACACACACAGACAGACACACACACACACAGACACACGCACACACACAGACAGACACACAATCAACCATACTCACCACCCACACACAGACATACTGTACACACAGACAGACACACACACACATACATACACACACACAGACAGAAACACACACACATACATACACACACACAAAGACAGACACACACACATACATACACACACACACAGACAGACACACACACACACATACATACACACACACACAGACAGACACATACACACATACACACACACACACACACACACAGACACATACACACAGACAGACACACAATCAACCATACCCACCACCAACACACACAGACATACTGTACACACACAGACAGACACACACACACAGACAGACACACACACAGAAACAGACACACACACACACAGACAGACACACACACACAGACAGACACACACACAGAAACAGACACACACACACACAGACAGACACACACACACACAGACATACACCAGGACCAGGAGGATCAAGAGGAGCAGTGAGGACCAGGAGGAGCAGTGAGGACCAGGAGGAGCAGTGAGGGGCTGGTGCTGTGTGAACTGGGTGCATCTCTGACTGCCTCCCCCTCCCCCAACCCAGAAATGGATTAAGGGGAAGAAAATGGGAGTCCTCAGTCCTCTTGTGAGGATTAGATAGCTATTTGGCCTTCGTGCAGGACAACTGCAGGACTCTACGCAGACTCTGATGTGTATCCATGTTATGACTATGATATGCTCTGTCTTTTGATGCGTGACGTGACAATGACTATAAAATCATGCACTGACTCCATTCTGTCTGAGAGAAGGAAACTATTGAAACCACTGGAACTTGAGAGAAACTTAAATAAACTTCCAGAGTTTGGCGCACCACGATCCGTCTCTGTCTGCTTCATTCCTGACACTCTCTCAGTCCTCTCTCAGTCCTCTCAGACCTCCTCAGTCCTCTCTCAGTCCTCCTCAGTCCTCTCTCAGTCCTCCTCAGTCCTCTCTCAGTCCTCTCTCAGTCCTCTCTCAGTCCTCTCAGACCTCCTCAGTCCTCTCTCAGACCTCCTCAGACCTCCTCAGTCCTCTCAGACCTCCTCAGTCCTCTCTCAGACCTCCTCAGTCCTCTCTCAGTCCTCCTCAGTCCTCTCTCAGTCCTCTAAGACCTCCTCAGTCCTCTCTCAGACCTCCTCAGTCCTCTCTCAGTCCTCTCAGTCCTCTCAGTCCTCTCTCAGTCCTCTCTCAGTCCTCTCAGACCTCCTCAGTCCTCTCTCAGACCTCTCAGTCCTCTCTCAGACCTCTCAGTCCTCTCTCAGACCTCCTCAGTCCTCTCTCAGACCTCCTCAGTCCTCTCTCAGACCTCTCTCAGTCCTCTCTCAGTCCTCTCAGACCTCTCAGTCCTCTCTCAGTCCTCTCTCAGACCTCTCAGTCCTCTCTCAGTCCTCTCTCAGTCCTCTCTCAGACCTCCTCAGTCCTCTCTCAGACCTCCTCAGTCCTCTCTCAGACCTCTCTCAGTCCTCTCTCAGACCTCTCTCAGTCCTCTCTCAGACCTCTCAGTCCTCTCTCAGTCCTCTCAGACCTCCTCACCTCTCTCAGACCTCCTCAGTCCTCTCTCAGACCTCTCTCAGTCCTCTCAGACCTCCTCAGTCCTCTCAGTCCTCTCAGACCTCCTCAGTCCTCTCTCAGTCCTCTCAGACCTCCTCAGTCCTCTCTCAGTCCTCTCTCAGACCTCCTCAGTCCTCTCTCAGACCTCCTCAGTCCTCTCTCAGACCTCCTCAGTCCTCTCAGACCTCCTCAGTCCTCTCTCAGACCTCCTCAGTCCTCTCTCAGACCTCCTCAGTCGCATCGCAGACCTCCTCAGTCCTATCTCAGTCCTCTCTCAGACCTCCTCAGTCCTCTCAGACCTCCTCAGTCCTCTCTCAGTCCTCTCTCAGACCTCCTCAGTCCTCCCTCAGACCTCCTCAGTCCTCTCAGACCTCCTCAGTCCTCTCTCAGACCTCCTCAGTCCTCTCTCAGACCTCCTCAGTCGTATCTCAGACCTCCTCAGTCCTATCTCAGTCCTCTCTCAGACCTCCTCAGTCCTCTCAGACCTCCTCAGTCCTCTCAGACCTCCTCAGTCCTCTCTCAGACCTCCTCAGTCCTCTCAGACCTCCTCAGTCCTCTCTCAGACCTCCTCAGTCCTCTCAGACCTCCTCAGTCCTCTCTCAGACCTCCTCAGTCCTCTCAGACCTCTCTCAGTCCTCTCTCAGTCCTCTCTCAGACCTCTCAGTCCTCTCTCAGTCCTCTCTCAGACCTCTCTCAGTCCTCTCTCAGACCTCCTCAGTCCTCTCTCAGACCTCCTCAGTCCTCTCTCAGACCTCCTCAGTCCTCTCTCAGACCTCTCTCAGTCCTCTCTCAGACCTCCTCAGTCCTCTCTCAGACCTCCTCAGTCCTCTCTCAGACCTCCTCAGTCCTCTCTCAGACCTCCTCAGTCCTCTCTCAGACCTCCTCAGTCCTCTCTCAGACCTCCTCAGTCGTATCTCAGACCTCCTCAGTCCTATCTCAGTCCTCTCTCAGACCTCCTCAGTCCTCTCAGACCTCCTCAGTCCTCTCTCAGACCTCCTCAGTCCTCTCAGACCTCCTCAGTCCTCTCTCAGACCTCCTCAGTCCTCTCAGACCTCCTCAGTCCTCTCTCAGACCTCCTCAGTCCTCTCAGACCTCCTCAGTCCTCTCTCAGTCCTCTCTCAGACCTCCTCAGTCCTCTCTCAGTCCTCTCTCAGACCTCTCTCAGTCCTCTCTCAGACCTCCTCAGTCCTCTCTCAGACCTCCTCAGTCCTCTCTCAGACCTCCTCAGTCCTCTCTCAGACCTCTCTCAGTCCTCTCTCAGACCTCCTCAGTCCTCTCTCAGACCTCCTCAGTCCTCTCTCAGACCTCCTCAGTCCTCTCTCAGACCTCCTCAGTCCTCTCTCAGACCTCCTCAGTCCTCTCTCAGACCTCTCTCAGTCCTCTCTCAGACCTCCTCAGTCCTCTCTCAGACCTCTCTCAGTCCTCTCTCAGACCTCCTCAGTCCTCTCTCAGACCTCCTCAGTCCTCTCTCAGACCTCCTCAGTCCTCTCTCAGACCTCTCTCAGTCCTCTCTCAGACCTCCTCAGTACTCTCTCAGACCTCCTCAGTCCTCTCTCAGACCTCCTCAGTCCTCTCAGACCTCCTCAGTCCTCTCTCAGACCTCTCTCAGTCCTCTCTCAGACCTCCTCAGTCCTCTCTCAGACCTCCTCAGTCCTCTCTCAGACCTCTCTCAGTCCTCTCTCAGACCTCTCTCAGTCCTCTCAGAGTCTGCTTCCTAGACCTCAGTCCGTAATCGTTCCAAATCGATCATAAATTGGCCTCTGCTGTAATTCAAAAGTCGCTGAATGAAAGACATGGTTCTTATTTCAAGTTCCACAGTGTTCCACAGTGTTCCACAGCGTGACGGAGAGAGAGCTCTGTCTCCACATGTACTCCAGGCTTTGTTTACAGGAGACTACAGGAGAGAAGCTGGATGTGCCTCAGAGATCTGACAGAAAAATATACATGTCTATGTCATAGAAATATCATGAAAATACACGATTGCCACCCGAATATGAAGTTATAATATTCTAATTAGATGGGTACATTCAATTCCTACGTAAACTTTGGGCCATTCTTAAATTAGTAATATGTAAGATTTTTATGTCATTAAAGGGCCCTAATCTGTCATCATTAAAGACCTTATGCCGGGTTTAAAAAAAATCTGAATCTGAAAAGCAGCCTCCCCATGTTTAGTTCTGACTCTGGGCACTAACTGGAGTCCAGTCCCTGTGCTCCTCAGAGTCCCAGCAGGAGTCCAGTCCCTGTGCTCCTCAGAGTCCCAGCAGGAGTCCAGTCCCTGTGCTCCTCAGAGTCCCAGCAGGAGTCCAGTCCCTGTGCTCCTCAGAGTCCCAGCAGGAGTCCAGTCCCTGTGCTCCTCAGAGTCCCAGCAGGAGTCCAGTCCCTGTGCTCCTCAGAGTCCCAGCAGGAGTCCAGTCCCTGTGCTCCTCAGAGTCCGGGCTGGTTCATATGGGACTAACATGTCACTAATATATTTTGGTGCGAGGCCATGGAGAGACTTGTAACAAGCAGAGCTGTTTTAAAGTCTATTCTCTGAGCCACAGGAAGCCAGTGCAGGGACCTGAGGACTGGACTAATGTGGTCGTACTTCCTGGTTCTAGTCAGGACTAATGTGGTCGTACTTCCTGGTTCTTGTCAGGACTAATGTGGTCGTACTTCCTGGTTCTAGTCAGGACTAATGTGGTCGTACTTCCTGGTTCTAGTCAGGACTCGAGCTGCTGCATTTTGAATGTACTGCAGCTGTTTTACAGCCTGTTTGGACAGACCTGTGAGCAGGCCATTGCAGTAGTCTAACCTACTGGAGACAAATGTATGGATAAGAATCTCCAAGTCTGCTTTAGACACTATGTTTTTGATCCTGGCAATGTTTTTTAGATGGTAAAAAGCTGCTGATGTTACTGATTTGATGTGGCTATTAAAATTTAAGTCTGAGTCCAGTATTACCCCTAGATTTCTGACCTTGTTTGAAGGTTTTAGGGAGAGAGACTGGAGGTGACAGATGACGCTCTCTCTTTGTTTCTGGGGACCAAAGACAATCATTTCAGTTTTGTCTGCGTTTAGCTGAAGGAAGTTGTTTTGCATCCACTCACTGATCTGTTGGATACAGTGAAGGAGTGAGTCCACTGGTCCATGTTCTCCTGCAGTCAGTGAGACATAAATCTGAGTGTCGTCTGCATAGTTGTGATAGGACACTTTGTTTCTGCGTATTAACTGACCTAAGTACCATGTGGCGCAAAACTAATAAAGGTCTCGTTATGATTCTCAAATTATTAACGACAAAACAAGGAATAAAACCATCCGTCATACTCTCCACAGCCACTGCATCGACCCTTCTTCAAACACACACAAGCACACACACGCACACGCAAACACATACACACACACAAACACACTCACAACACACACATCCAATTCAAACACACACACACACACGCACGCACACAAACACATACACACACACAAACACACGCAAACACATACACACACACAAACACACTCACAACACACACATCCAATTCAAACACACACACACACGCACGCACACACACAAACACATACACACACTCACAACACACACATCCAGTTCAAAAAACACACACACACACACACACAAACATCACTCATAAACACACACACACACATCACAAACCTCCCGTTGAAACCCCACTTCCTCCTTCTGTGTGTTTTTGTTTAAATTGTGATAAAACTTCTCATTCTTTCTAACGAGGACGTAACAAAAGCGCTACGGCTAATTAGCGTTAGCGGTTTGCTTTGAAGGTGTGCGTCTCCCTGACCTCCCTGCTGCGTTCCAAACAAAGGCAGGAATTACAATATGCAAAGTGGAAAGTGTATTTCTGGAAGTCTCCGCGACTCCCGTGGCCTCGATCCCGGAGGACGCCGCACCGTGGGAGTCAGAGTACACTGTAACTTGAATGCACCGCGCTGCCTTCAGGGACCTGCACACGCGGCGGTAATGTATTTTTATGTGATATATTTTAATCTTGAATCATTCACATGTTGGGGCTGCAAAGTGGTTTTTGTCAAAGACTGAAAATAGAGGGTCCCATGTTGGAAGAAACTAGGTTATTTTTATATTATGGATTTCCATTAATGAGACAAACGGCCGTCGGTGCGCCCTCTGCAGCAGCTGCCAGGGCTTTTTGGCGGATTTATTGTTGCATATTATTTTTAATTAATTTCCATTGTTTGACTTTATCTGTGATTGAGTTTGTGGTAAGGGAAGCAATCAGGGACAAAGTTAAGTTTCATTTTCTCTACCACAAAACTGTAGCTCCAGGACTGAGGCTGTAGACCCAGGACTGAGGCTGTAGACCCAGTAAGTAAGTAAGTAAGTAGTAAGTTTTTATTTATATACCGCCTTTTCACTGCAGATCTGAGTCTCAAAGCGGTTTACAATTGTTAATTTTGGGCATTTGTCTCTCACTCCACACAGAGATGGGAGCGGGGCAGTACAGGAGGCGCATGCCAGAACTATTGGACATATTTTTAGTGGTAGGGGAAACCGGAGTACCCGGAGGAAACCTACGCAGACACGGGGAGAACATGCAAACTCCACTCAGAAAGGCCCTGGTCTGACCGGGATTCGAACCCAGGACCTTCTTGCTGAGAGGCCAGAGTGCTATCCACTCAGCCACCGTGCCGCCCTGAGACCCAGGACTGAGACTGTAGACCCAGGACTGAGGCTGTAGACCCAGGACTGAGGCTGTAGACCCAGGACTGAGGCTGTAGACCCAGGACTGAGGCTGTAGACCCAGGACTGAGGCTGTAGATCCAGGACTGAGGCTGTAGATCCAGGACTGAGGATGTAGACCCAGGACTGAGACCCAGGACTGAGGCTGTAGATCCAGGACTGAGGCTTTAGACCCAGGACTGAGGATGCAGACCCAGGACTGAGGCTGTAGACCCAGGACTGAGACTGTAGACCCAGGACTGAGGCTGTAGACCCAGGACTGAGGCTGTAGACCCAGGACTGAGGCTGTAGACCCAGGACTGAGACTGTAGACCCAGGACTGAGGCTGTAGACCCAGGACTGAGGCTGTAGACCCAGGACTGAGGCTGTAGACCCAGGACTGAGGCTGTAGACCCAGGACTGAGACTGTAGACCCAGGACTGAGGCTGTAGACCCAGGACTGAGGCTGTAGATCCAGGACTGAGGCTGTAGATCCAGGACTGAGGATGTAGACCCAGGACTGAGACCCAGGACTGAGGCTGTAGACCCAGGACTGAGGATGCAGACCCAGGACTGAGACTGTAGACCCAGGACTGAGGCTGTAGATCCAGGACTGAGGCTTTAGACCCAGGACTGAGGATGCAGACCCAGGACTGAGGCTGTAGACCCAGGACTGAGGATGCAGACCCAGGACTGAGACCCAGGACGGAGGCTGGGTCTAACAAACACACAGCTAACACACATGCTAACACACAGGTACTTCTTAACACAGAAACACAATCACAGACACGTCTTCGGGAGATTAGATTCTGAGCCTTGATTACATCTCGTCATCTATTATTTGCTAAGCTATGTTTACAATTTCAATACACCCAGGACTGAGCTGCGGTCTCGCCTCAGTCCCGCCTCGGTCTCGCACCATCTGGCCATCTTCATCTGGGCCGGTCTGACCCCTGGATGTGCTCATGTCGGAGGAGTTGGAGTCAGAAAAATGAGACTATTGAGGTTCTAGAGTGGAAAAATCAGACCAGAGAGACCAGAGAGAGAGACCAGAGAGAGAGACCAGAGAGAGACCAGAGAGAGACCAGAGAGAGAGAAGAGAGAGACCAGAGAGAGAGAAGAGAGAGACCAGAGAGACCAGAGAGAGAGACCAGAGAGAGACCAGAGAGAGACCAGAGAGAGAGAAGAGAGAGAGAAGAGAGGGACCAGATAGAGACCAGAGAGAGACCAGAGAGAGAGACCAGAGAGACCAAAGAGAGAGAGACCAGAGAGAGACCAGAGAGAGAGAAGAGAGAGAGACCAGAGAGACCAAAGAGAGAGAGACCAGAGAGAGACCAGAGAGAGAGAAGAGAGAGACCAGAGAGAGAGGCCAGAGAGAGAGACCAGAGAGAGACCAGAGAGAGAGAAGAGAGAGACCAGAGAGAGACCAGAGAGAGACCAGAGAGAGAACAGAGAGAGACCAGAGAGAGACCAGAGAGAGACCAGAGAGAGAACAGAGAGAGACCAGAGAGAGACCAGAGAGAGACCAGAGAGAGAGGCCAGAGAGAGAGACCAGAGAGAGACCAGAGAGAGACCAGAGAGAGTGATTTATAGCCCAGGGCTCTTTTGCATCTCGTCATCTATTATTTGCTAAGCTTTGTTTACACTTTCAACGCACCCAGGACTGAGCTGCGGTCTCGCCTCGGTCCCGCCTCGGTCTCGCCTCGGTCTCGCCTCGGTCTCGCCTCGGTCTCGCCTCGGTCTCGCCTCGGTCCCACCTCGGGCCCGCACCATCTGGCCATCTTTGTCTGGGCCGGTCTGACGCCTGGATGTGCTCATGTCGGAGGAGTTGGAGTCAGAAAAGTGAGACTATTGAGGTTCTAGAGTGGAAAGATCAGACGAGAGAGACCAGAGAGAAAGGAGAGAGGAACCAGAGAGAGAGAGACCAGAGAGAAGGGAGAGAGGGACCAGAGAGAGAGAGACCAGAGAGAAGGGAGAGAGGGACCAGAGAGGGAGAGACCAGAGAGAAGGGAGAGAGGGACCAGAGAGAGAGAGACCAGAGAGGGACCAGAGAGAGAGAGACCAGAGAGAAGGGAGAGAGAGACCAGAGAGAGAGAGACCAGAGAGGGACCAGAGAGAGAGAGACCAGAGAGAGACCAAAGAGAGAGAGACCAGAGAGAGACCAAAGAGGGACCAGAGTGAGACCAGAGAGAGACCAGAGAAGGACCAGAGAGAGACCAGAGAGAGACCAGAGTGAGACCTGAGAGAGACCAGAGAGAGACCAAAGAGGGACCAGAGAGAGACCAGAGAGAGACCAGAGAGAGAGACCAGAGAGAGACCAGAGAGAGAGAAGAGAGAGAGACCAGAGAGACCAGAGAGAGAGACCAGAGAGAGACCACAGAGAGAGAAGAGAGGGACCAGAGAGAGACCAGAGAGAGAGAAGAGAGAGACCAGAGAGACCAGAGAGAGAGACCAGAGAGAGACCAGAGAGAGAGAAGAGAGAGAGAGAAGAGAGAGACCAGAGAGAGACCAGAGAGAGAGAAGAGAGAGAGAAGAGAGGGACCAGAGAGAGACCAGAGAGAGACCAGAGAGAGACCAGAGAGAGAGACCAGAGAGACCAAAGAGAGAGAGACCAGAGAGAGACCAGAGAGAGAGAAGAGAGAGACCAGAGAGAGAGACCAGAGAGAGAGAAGAGAGAGACCAGAGAGAGACCAGAGAGAGACCAGAGAGAGAGGCCAGAGAGAGACCAGAGAGAGACCAGAGAGAGACCAGAGAGAGACCAGAGAGAGACCAGAGAGAGACCAGAGAGAGACCAGAGAGAGACCAGAGAGAGAGACCAGAGAGAGTGATTTATAGCCCAGGGCTCTTTTGCATCTCGTCATCTATTATTTGCTAAGCTTTGTTTACACTTTCAACACACCCAGGACTGAGCTGCGGTCTCGCCTCGGTCCCGCCTCGGTCTCGCCTCGGTCTCGCCTCGGTCTCGCCTCGGTCTCGCCTCGGTCCCACCTCGGGCCCGCACCATCTGGCCATCTTTGTCTGGGCCGGTCTGACGCCTGGATGTGCTCATGTCGGAGGAGTTGGAGTCAGAAAAGTGAGACTATTGAGGTTCTAGAGTGGAAAGATCAGACGAGAGAGACCAGAGAGAAAGGAGAGAGGGACCAGAGAGAGAGAGAGACCAGAGAGAAGGGAGAGAGGGACCAGAGAGAGAGAGACCAGAGAGAAGGGAGAGAGAGACCAGAGAGAGAGACCAGAGAGGGACCAGAGAGAGAGAGACCAGAGAGAGACCAAAGAGAGAGAGACCAGAGAGAAGGGAGAGAGAGAGAGACCAGAGAGAAAGGAGAGAGAGAGAGATAGAGACCAGAGAGAGAGGGAAGAGAGAGAGAGAAAAGAGAGAGACCAGAGAGAGAGAGAGACCAGAGAGAGAAGGGAGAGAGAGAGAGAGAGACCAGAGAGAGAGAGAAGAGAGAGAGAGAAAAGAGAGAGACCAGAGAGAGACCAAAGAGGGACCAGAGTGAGACCAGAGAGAGACCAGAGAAGGACCAGAGAGAGCCCAGAGAGAGACCAGAGAGAGACCAGAGTGAGACCAGAGAGAGACCAGAGAAGGACCAGAGAGAGACCAGAGAGAGACCAAAGAGGGACCAGAGAGAGACCAGAGAGAGACCAGAGACCAGAGAGAGACCAGAGAGAGACCAGAGAGAGACCAGAGAGAGACCAGAGAGAGATCAAAGAGGGACCAGAGAGAGACCAGAGAGAGACCAGAGAGAGACCAAAGAGGGACCAGAGAGAGACCAGAGAGAGACCAGAGAGAGAGACCAGAGAGAGACCAGAGAGAGACCAGAGAGAGACCAGAGAGAGACCAGAGAGAGACCAGAGAGAGACCAGAGAGAGTGATTTATAGCCCAGGGCTCTTTTGCATCTCGTCATCTATTATTTGCTAAGCTTTGTTTACACTTTCAACACACCCAGGACTGAGCTGCGGTCTCGCCTCGGTCTCGCCTCGGTCCTGCTTTGGTCTCGTCTTGGTCCCGCACCATCTGGCCATCTTTGCATTCTTCATCTGGGCCGGTCTTACTGGATGTGCTGATGTCGGAGGAGTTTGAGTCCCTTATGGCGCAGAGTTTCTCATTTGCGAACAAGTGAAGTTGATTAGCGGCTGTGTACGGATGTGTGCGGCTGTGTGCGACGGTGTACGGATGTGTGTGGCTGTGTGCGGATGTGTGCGGCTGTGCACGGCTGTGTGCGACAGTCTACGGCTGTGTACGGATGTGTGCGGCTGTGTACGGCTGTGTGCGGATGTGTGCGGCTGTGTACGGCTGTGTGCGACTGTGTACGGATATGTGCGACTGTGTACGGATGTGTGCGGCTGTGTGCGACTGTACGGCTGTGTACGGATGTGTGCGGCTGTGTACGGCTGTGTGCGACAGTGTACGGATGTGTGCGGCTGTGTACGGCTGTGTCTCTCTCTCTGCTCTCTCTGGTCTCTCTCTCTGGTCTCTCTCTGGTCTCTCTCTGGTCTCTCTCTGGTCTCTCTCTAGTCTCTCTCTGGTCTCTCTCTGGTCTTTCTCTGGTCTCTCTCTGGTCTTTCTCTGGTCTCTCTCTGGTCTCTCTCTAGTCTCTCTCTGGTCTCTCTCTGGTCTTTCTCTGGTCTCTCTCTGGTCTCTCTCTAGTCTCTCTCTGGTCTCTCTCTGGTCTCTCTCTGGTCTCTCTCTGGTCTCTCTCTCTGGTCTCTCTCTAGTCTCTCTCTGGTCTCTCTCTGGTCTCTCTCTGGTCTTTCTCTCTGGTCTCTCTCTCTGGTCTCTCTCTGGTCTCTCTCTGGTCTCTCTCTGGTCTCTCTCTGGTCTCTCTCTGGTCTCTCTCTCTGGCCTCTCTCTCTGGTCTCTCTCTCTGGTCTCTCTCTGGTCTCTCTCTGGTCTCTCTCTCTGGTCTCTCTCTGGTCTCTCTCTGGTCTCTGTCTCTGGTCTCTCTCTGGTTTCCTCCAGGTGCTCCGTTTTCCCCCACCAATAAAAACGTGTTTAAGCCTTTCATACTGCAGGATGGCGACAGGCCTAGGATTTATTTTAGTGTGGAGTATGCATGTTCTCCCTGTGTCTGCATAAGGTTTCCTCCAGGTGCTCCGGTTTCCCCTACCACTAAAAACATGTACAGTAGGTCTGAAAGTGTTGAGTGGATGGATGGTGTGTTGCCTTTAAAATATAGAGCTGCTACTTGAAGGTTTTCTCTTCTTCTTCTTCTTTTCCGGAGTCTTCTGGGGCCACACCTGTTTAAGAGGGTGTTTACGCTCAGATTACATTTCCAGAGCGGCGTCGGGGTCAGTGCGGAGCGGCGGCGTCGGGGTCAGTGCGGAGCAGCGGCGCTAAATGAACTGCAGGAGAATCTCTAACAAACATTATTACAGTGCTGATCCGTCCTGGCCTCACGCGCTGCCAAAAAACAACACTATTAAACTCCCAAGATGCACCGGGAAATGATAAAAGATGTTTATACAGAAGGAAATTAAAGATGGGGGAGCGGCGTGCCCTTCAGGAGGTATCTACACTCTGCTTAAAGCTGGGGGACCTGGTTTTGTTTCATTAAAGAAGCTATACCTGATTATTAGTTTAAGTATTTGTAAAACTTGAGCTCATTGATTCAGCCGTGTATGAATTCAGGTCGTAAAAAAGTGCTGAGTAGAGACTTAGACACTAGATACAAACAGGCCACACCTCCTTTAGGCCACGCCTCCTCTAGCCTCTACAGCGCTGCTAAACACAGTAGCATGTTAGCATAAGTGGCTATAACTCACAGCCCAAACCACACAACAGTGAGGAAGAGAAGAGGGAACTAAAGCGAGACTGGTCTGAGGGAGAGACCTGCGGGACCGCCTCGGACTATCTACGTTCTGACTATCTACGCTCGGACTATCCACGCTCAGACTATCTATGCTCGGACTATCTACGCTCGGACTATCTACGTTTGGACTATCTACGCTCGGACTATCTACGCTCGGACTATCTACGCTCGGACTATCTACGTTCGGACTATCTACGCTCGGACTATCTACGCTCGGAATGTCTACGCTCGGACTATCTACGCTCGGACTATCTACACTCGGACTATCTACGCTCGGACTATCTACACTCGGACTATCTATGCTCGGACTATCTACGTTCGGACTATCTATGCTCGGACTATCTACGTTCGGACTATCTATGCTCGGACTATCTACACTCGGACTATCTATGCTCGGACTATCTACGCTCGGACTATCTACGCTCGGACTATCTACGTTTGGACTATCTACGCTCGGACTATCTACGTTCGGACTATCTACGTTCGGACTATCTACGCTCGGACTATCTATGCTCGGACTATCTACGCTCGGACTATCTATGCTCGGACTATCTACGCCCGGACTATCTATGCTCGGACTATCTACGTTCGGACTATCTACGCTCGGACTATCTACGCTCGGACTATCTACGTTCGGACTATCTACGCTCGGACTATCTACGCTCGGACTATCTACGCTCGGACTATCTACGTTCGGACTATCTACGCTCGGACTATCTACACTCGGACTATCTACACTCGGACTATCTACGTTCGGACTATCTATGCTCGGACTATCTACACTCGGACTATCTACGTTCGGACTATCTACGCTCGGACTATCTACACTCGGACTATCTACACTCGGACTATCTACGTTCGGACTATCTATGCTCGGACTATCTACGCTCGGACTATCTACACTCGGACTATCTACACTCGGACTATCTACGTTCGGACTATCTACACTCGGACTATCTACGTTCGGACTATCTAAGCTCGGACCATCTACGTTCGGACTATCTACACTTGGACTATCTACGCTCGGACTATCTATGCTCGGACTATCTACACTCGGACTATCTACGTTCGGACTATCTAAGCTCGGACCATCTACGTTCGGACTATCTACACTTGGACTATCTACGCTCGGACTATCTACACTCGGACTATCTATGTTCGGACTATCTACACTCGGACTATCTATGCTCGGACTATCTACGCTCGGACTATCTACGTTCGGACTATCTAAGCTCGGACCATCTACGTTCGGACTATCTACACTTGGACTATCTACGCTCGGACTATCTACACTCGGACTATCTATGTTCGGACTATCTACACTCGGACTATCTATGCTCGGACTATCTACGCTCGGACTATCTACACTCGGACTATCTACGTTCGGACTATCTACACTCGGACTATCTACGTTCGGACTATCTACACTCGGACTATCTATGCTCGGACTATCTACGCTCGGACTATCTACACTCGGACTATCTACGTTCGGACTATCTACGCTCGGACTATCTACGTTCGGACTATCTACACTCGGACTATCTACGTTCGGACTATCTACGCTCGGACTATCTACGTTCGGACTATCTACACTCGGACTATCTACGTTCGGACTATCTACACTCGGACTATCTACGTTCGGACTATCTACACTCGGACTATCTTTGCTCAGACATTCAGACGTGAAACAAGCGGTAATCTTTCAGTTATATATGTTGTTAGCAGTGCGTTGCTTTTGTTCCATTTCATCAGTGATTGTTGTACAGCTAAAGTTGTGCTAATGCTAATGTTAGCATACAGATCACAAATAAAACTAGATGGCTCCGTGGGAGGAGAGCCTAGGGGAAATGAGAAGGCTGTGAGAGAGTTGGGGACGGAGCTAAACATTCAAACCTTACAGAAAACCTGTAGAAACAGGTGTAGCTCCTTAAATTTATCATGTTGTTTGTCACCAGTCCTGAAAAGAGAGAAAAACCAGAGAGACTAGAGGGACGAGAGAAAGACCAGAGAGAGACCAGAGAGAGGCCAGGGAGACTAGAGAGACTAGAGAAAGACCAGAGAGAGAGACTAGAGAGACTAGAGAAATACCAGAGAGAGAGACTAGAGAACAAGAGAGAGACAAGGAAGAGACTAGAGAGAGGCCAGAGAGACTTGAGAGAGACCAGAGACAGACCAGAGGGAGACTAGTTGAGAGACTGGTTGAGAGAGACAAGAGACTTGAGAGAGACCAGAGAGAGA